GCTTCATCTGTACAGAAAGTGACACATTTGGTTACATCTCCTCAGACTGCTGCCCACAGGACCTTGACCCAGATAAGAAAATGCAAGCTTTAGCTGCCCTCAAACAACAACAACGGAGAATCTCAGCTGATAGGATTTAGCAACACAGTGTCAAGCAAATTCTTCTCCAAACTTGAAATATTTTCAACTACTATGTGTTTGTCTGACTTCCCGATACTGTGGTCCCCGCCAACCTTGACACAAACATGGTTCAGGCAGTTAGGCACCGCATACAGCATTTGCTTCAGTATTGTTTAATTTTAATCATGGCTTCTAGTGTCTGCTTTATTTCCAAATCTAAGAAATGGACATTTATACAGAAACCTCTTTTTTTCCCCAAATCATTATGTTTTGAAATTATAGAACTACAGTGCTGATGCAGCACAGCCTGTCACGCATCTGCACTGCAGTCAAATGAGCCTTTGTGTGGTAAATGTTTATGTCTAGATTGGAAATAAGGCAGACACTAGGTGCCATGGTCATTAGAATTATGGAAAGGCAGCTTATTAGGTGCTTTTCCATAATACTAAGACTGCCTTATTTCAGCAATTACCAATCACATTTGATATAACAAGCTAAAGTGACATCAGACTGGACAGTCCTGTCCAGTTAGAGATCAAACTGCAATCACAATCGTGCTAAATTATATAAATAAACATTTATAATGCTAAAGAAGTCCTGAACATGTGAGAAGAAATCATACATATTTATACGAAGCTTCCAACTGATTCCAGCTTAACTATCAGTTGTTGAAACAATAACAAAATCTGTGAAAATAAATGAACTATCCAGACTGTCAACTGCTGCAAGTTTAATAAACTGATAACTGAGTTAGTTATCAGCTGATCAGAGTTAGTTCAGTTTGGTTTTTCTTCTTATTATTATTATTATCAGTAAATAATATCATTACTATATTCAGGGTTTGTTGAAGAAAAGCAGCCAGCACTGGGATTTCTGCAGTCCAACTACAACAGAAAACCCAGAGTTGCCTCCAGTTTTCCATTAAACCTGCTTCTGGAGCAAAGCCCCGCGTCCATCTGAGACGATGCAGGAGCATTTGCTCATCACGCAATCAGACTCCAAAACACAAGAACATAAACAAGTTGTCGTTACTCATTAAATAAATGCAATATATAATCTTCATAATACTGTACAATTTCCACTCAGACCACTGGGCTGCTTCATAGCTACTCACTGTCGTAAACATCTTCAGTACATTCTGATTAAAGCAGCCCTGGCATCTAATTGTTCCAGAAACCAGGAATTCACAGTTCATCGTGTCCACACTGAGTCACGGAGCTGCCCGATACAATCATCTGGTTCCAGCTGAGGAAATTCGCTGGATCGACTGGGGATACTTACAATTTTCCTTGAATCCAGGTTGTGGACTTCAAGTACAACTACATGACTACAAAAGTATCCATGGTTAAATCTGAAAGGTTAACAGTGTGGAGTCCTCTCACCTCATCAGGTTAAAGCTTCATATAATTCATACTCTCAATTTCTCGAACTTCAGCTCGGGACTGAATTGCCGTCAGTCTAGTGTATACTGTGCAACTGAAAGACTTCAAGAAATGAAAGCTAATGAATCCAAAGTGCTTTTGTTTGGCAATTAGCTGAGAAACAGCTTGTGAAGGACGTTCCTACAACGAAAATGTTCATCCTTGGTGTAATGGTGTCAGCGTCTCAGCAAATAATGATCTGGTGGCGTTTGTGACATCTTCTAGAGTTTATCAGG